GAACGGAGATAGTTTTTTATAAGTTTTAATTTGCTAAAACTTACTAAAGCAAGAAGCTGTAGTAACGGACATTGTTAAAAAAATTCTTAATGCTACTTCCAAATTTGAGTATACATCTTGTAGAGAATGTTGATGTATGAATTTTAAAAAGTTATAAGAGGTTACAGTTTTAAATTATGATATTAATGTAGAAGCTTGAAACTTGAAACTTTGAACTTCAGTAAATAACTCAMCACCATTTAAATCAACACTGTATATTGTATAACAACGCTACATCATTAGACCATTTTTTGATATCATCAATTTCCATAGACGATAAATTTCGACCATACAAAAATGAAAAATTTGAAGATATATTAGACAGTTTTTCAAATCTCCATTTTAGACTTGTAATAATAGAATCTAAAGATTGATAGCATTGTAGCTTCACAATAGTTTCACTTGTTTCACTAGTTTCTCTTTCATTTAACTCTAAGTCATTTATTTTGCGATTTATTTTTCTGGTAGTTGGAAAATCAGTGGATATGTTTATTAAAAGTGCATTTTTTTTTAGCTTCATTCAATGCATTTTCAAAACCACTGTCTCGTATATTTTGAATGCCACGTCAATAGATTGGTTTTGATTTTGTAAAGATAAATTTACTATGTCAATCTGCCCTAGTATAGAATCCCAAAAATTAAATAGGYATAAAAACTTGACATTTATTTGTTTTAGAATATGTTGAGCAGATGTTGATGTGTTTTTATTAAAATCTTTCGAGTTTGTCGCCATAAGATTTAGTCATGTAAAACATGTTTAAAATTTAATTTTAGGGCATTCATGGCTTGTTTTTTTGTACTTCAACGTGTGTCACAATGAGATTTTAAAGTAATTTTCATAGTTTTCATTAAGAGTTCCCATCTACTTGTCGAGCCAGAAAAAAATGATTATATGTTTTGAATTAAGCCAAAATGTGTTATTATCATGGGTGAAACTTCTGCAGCATGAACACCTATTAGGTTCAGACTATGAGCTGAGCATGGTAAAAATGTTGCTAGTTCATTTACATGTAAAATAGGTATGTGATATGATTTGTTTGCACTGTCCTCTACAATCCATTATATAAAGTCCATTATTTCTTATAGTATTTAATATTTCATTAGAAAGCCCTAATCCTGATTTTTCGTTAGTACATATAAAATCAATAAATGATTCTTTAATAATAATTTCTCCATTAGAAATTTYGACATACCTGATTGTTTGTGACATTTGTTCCTGGTGAGATTTATCGGGAGTACAATCGAAAAGAATTAAGAAGTATTTGTATTTTTTTATTTGTTTAAGTATAGTTTGTCTTACTTGTTGGCCTATTATACAGATTATTTCATTTTGAATTTTATGAGAAAAATAACTACTAGTTGGTTTATTACTATCTGTAAAGTTTTTTTATGTGAACTAATAAGATAGGGTTGTATGACTTATTAGTTTATTACTTCCATTAGGCTTAAAAAAATACCACAATTTTTTTTCTCCTATTTTGTCTGATGAACCTCTTAAGGCCAGATTATTTTTAGCACAAAATAAAATTCCGTCAACGATAACTTTAAGAAAACCATTTTTTTTTTT